ATGAGCCATCATGTTGTGGGTGCTGGGAATCAAACCCCAGTCCTCTGCAAGAGCAGCCAGTGTTCTTAACCATTGAGCCATCTCTCCAGCCCTGTGTTTATCATTTTTAATTAAAAAAAAATTGTTGCCAGGCACAGTGATGCATCTCAGCACTGAAGAGGCAGAAGCAAGTGGATTACCATGAGTTTGAGGTCAGCCTAGTTTGTATGGTGAGTTCCAGACCAGCCAGGGCTACACAGTGAGTCCATTTCCCCCCACAAAAAAATGTAGGAGAGCTGGGCATGGTTGCTAACACCAATAATTTCAACACTAAGGAGGCTGAGGCAGAAAGATTGCCACAATGCTGGGCGGCGGTGGCACACACCTTTAATCCCAGCACTCGGGAGACAGAGCCAGACAGATCTCTGTGAGTTTGAGGCCAGCCTGGGCTACAGGGTGAGAGATCTAGGACAGGCACCGAAACTACACAGAGAAACCCTGTCTTGAAAGGAAAAAAAAGATTGCCGTAAGTTATAGGTTAACATGACTATATAATAAGTTCCATGGCAAGCTAGGGTACAATGTCAGACATTGTCTAAAAAGACAAAAAAAAAATGTTGCTCAGTGTGATGACACACACCTTTTATCCTAGTAGTCTGGGAGCAGAAGGCAGGTCTTTGTGAATTAGAGGCCAGTCTGGTCCATGTAGCAAGTTCCATGGCAGCCAGTGCTACATAGAGACCCTGTCAAGGCATGGTAGCATGCACTGATAATCCCAGCACCCACAGATAAATCCCCGGGGCTTGCTGGCTAGCCAACCTGGCCTCATCAGTGAGAGCCAGGTGAGTGTGAGACTGTCAAGGAAGACACAGGTGGGCAGAACCCAACAAACGACAGCTGAGGCTGACTTCAAGAGCTGCTATCCAAAAAGTAAGACCACAAAGTTGTAGGTTATATCTATGTCAAAAAAAAAAACAACCCAAAGTATAAACTTGCTTTTTTTTTTCTTCAAGTTTCATCTCACTTGTCCCAAGGAAATGGCACCACCTTAAACAGAAAATGAACAAAAGCCTTTCTGTGCCCCCCAGGGAGGGAGCCACACCCCACTGCTCTTGTTTGGTCACTTAAAGAGAAACTTTGCAGTGTGCACAGCCCTTGATGCAAAGTAAGGTGTCTTCAAATCCCATGTGGCAGGAGACCCTACTTGGCCCCCTCTTGAATGTCTATAGAGGAGCGTATCTACAGAAGAAGTAATGGTACCTCCACCAAAAATCTGAAGAGGGGGCTAGACAGACGGCTCAGCGGTTAAGAGCACTAGCTGCTCTTCCAGAGGTCCTGAGTTCAATCCCTGGCAATCACATGGTGGCTCATAGCCATCTATAATGAGATCTGGCGCCCTCTTCTGGCCTGCAAACATGCATGCAGACAGAACACTGAATACATAATAAATACAGCTTGGCCATTGTTGCCACTGAGGACCCCTCTGATGGCACTGTTCTCTCCTCCAGGAACACCAGCCACTTTAGCCAGTCTGACTGACTTCATGGGACCTTCATGAACCAGATCCAAGCAGCCACATCTAGTGGTAAATGACCCCAGGGCTGGCTAAAAGCATCTCACAGAGTCATCTTATATCAATGTGCTGCTGACTGTCACTTTGCACACTGTGGACATTGCCATCCTCACATGGAGCTCACTCAGTGGGTCTGATATGGTGGATGCTGACCCTAAAGCTCTGTGCATACACATCACCATCTCATACACATCACCATCTCATGTGAATGAATATCCATAGATCATGCTTGGTCCCCATACAGCAGTGGTTCTCAACCTGTGGGTCATGACCCCAACGAGAGTCATAGATCACATATGTATATTACAATTCATAATAAATAGTAGCAAAATCACAGTTATGAAGTAGCAACAAAACAATTTTATGGTTGGGGGTCACCACAACATGAGGAACTGTATTAAAGGGTCATAGCATTAGGGAGGTTGAGAACCACTGACCTACAGAGTCCCACTGATCTGCGGAGAACCACTGACTTACAATGGCAGAGCTATACCCAGGAGGAATTTCAAGGTGCATGGACTGTGCCAGCTCCTAAGTGCCTATCTAATCTGGTCCCTACTGAAAACTGTAACAACCAGCCAGCCACAGAGCACTGGTCTGCAGCTTCTGATGCTGAGGGCACTGAATGGGTAGAACAGCCACTGAATGAGCATATGTTCATCTGCAAACACTTCACCAAAGGTAAGACGATAAAGCAGTGGGACTGGAGAGATGGCTCAGCAGTTAAGAGCACTGACTGCTCTTCCAGAGGTCCTGAGTTCATGTTCTGAGTTCAATTCCCAGCAACCATCTATAGTGGGATCTGATGCCCTCTTCTGGTGTGCGGGCATACATGCAGATAGAGCACTCATACACATAAAATAAATCTTTAAAAAAAAAAAAAGATGGATGGAAAATACGTTTAAAACAAAACTTCATTGTGTAGGTATAAAACAAGCATAAAAATATGGCTTATCTGAAATCACTGCTCAATTCAGGATAGAGAACATTGTTCATATCCTGAAAACTGACTTTCTAACTTCCTAAACACAACTCTTACCCATCCATTAAAGGCAACCAATATTCCCTCTATACCTATCTTATACTTTTGGTTGTTGTTTTCGAGACAGGGTTTCTCTGTGTAGCCATGTCTGTCCTGAAACTCTTTGTAGACAGACTGGCCTTGAACTCACAGAGACCCGCCTGCCTCTGCCTCCCGAGTGCTGGGATTAAAGGTGTGCGCCACCACTGACTGGCTCTATCTATATTGCTTTTCCCTCTTTATCCCTTCACTTGGGTGGGTTGCAGGGTTCCATGAGTCTTGGCTGCTACAAGCCACGTTGCTTGCAGTTGGCATTCAGGTAACAGGTGACCACGTAGGCCAGAGAGGTTGCCTTTCGATCCCCTCTAGAACCAGGGAGCCACAACTGGTGAGATGAGTCTCATCTCTGTATTTAGCTCACAGCAGGAACAGGCTTCCTATGAGTGGGTAAGTGCCCCACCTACTGGCCTCTTTAGTAACTGCAGACGTCTAAGCAGGTTCTTCAGAGCTGGAATTCTGAAAACTCACCTTTAGAATGATTGTTTACTGGGGCTGAGAATGTTACCCAGTGGTGGAGTGCTCACCTACCATTCGGGAGGCCTGGGCTTTGATCTCCAGCACCACATAAAACTGGGTAGGTTACACACTAATCCCAGCACCCAGGAAAGAAGTTCTTGGTCATTCTCGGCTACACCGTGAGTGTTTGAAGCCTGGGTTATGAGATCCTGTCCTTTTTTGTTTTTGGAGACAGGGTTTTTCTGTGTAGCCTTAACTGTCCTGGAACTTGCTTTGTAGATCAGGCTAGCCTGGAACTCACAGAGATCCATCTGCCTCTGTCTTGAGTACTGGGATTAAAAGTATGTGCCACCACCGCTAGGCTGGATGCAGTCTTTAAAGGTTCACTGCAAAAGTGCTTTTTTTTTTTTATTTATTTTTACTTTATGTGCATTGGTGTTTCGGCATGGGTGTTGGGTCTCCTGGAATTGGAGTTACAGACAGTTGTGAACTGCCATGTGGGTGTTGTGAATCAAACCCAGGTCCTCTGGAAGAGTAGTCAGTGCTCTTAACCACTGAGCCATCTCTCCAACCCCAGATATATATTTTTTCTTTTCTTTTTTTTTTTTTTTGTTTTTCAAGACAGAGTTTCTCTATGTAGATTTGTGCCTTTCCTGGAACTCACTTTGATGACCAGGCTAGCCTCGAACTCAGAGATCCGCCTGCCTCTACCTCCCGAGTGCTGGGATTAAAGGCATGCGCCACCACTGCCAGTACAAAAGTGCTTTTAACTACTGACTGAACTATCTGTCCAGCCCCAGTAAGTCTAACTTTTAATAGGTTTTATGGGAACTGTAGAGACGGCTCAGCAGTCAAAAACACCGGCTGCTCTTCTAGAGGACCTGGGTACAATTCCCAACACCCACATGGCAGCTCACAGCTGTTATCCTAGTTCTCGGGATCTGAAATCCTTGCACATACATGCAAGCAAAACACCAACACACATGAACAAAAAGACTCAATTTACAGCAAACTGCCTCCCCCCGCCTCCCAGACAGGGTTTCTCTGTAGCTTTGGTTCCTGTCCTGGAACTCACTCTGTAGCCCAGGCTGGCATCCAACTCACAGAGATCCACCTGCCTCTGCCTCCCAAGTGCTGGGATTAAAGGCGTGCACTACCACTGGCCAGCTGAAAAGATTAAATTTAAAAGGTTTTACAAAGTAAAAATGTTACATAGTCTGGTCTGGAACTTTTTTTTTTTTTTAAAAGATTCATTTATTTATTATTATGTATACAGTGTTCTGTCTGCACATATCCCTGCAAGCCAGAAGAGGGCACCAGATCTCATTACAGATGGTTGTGAGCCACCATGTGGCTGCTGGGAATTGAACTCAGGACCTTTGGAAGAATAGCCAGTGCTCTTAACCTCTGAGCCATCTCTCCAGCCCCTGGAACTTTCTATGTAGACCAGGCTAGCCTTGAACTCAAGTGCTGTCTGCCTCTGCCGAGATCAAAGGTTTGCATTACTGCACACCTAAACCAAAATAAGGCTTTTTCTCTTTTTTCCCCCCTCTTCCTCTGTGTACCCTCGGCTGTCCTGGTTCTTGCTTTGTAGACCAGGCTGGCCTCCGTAATCAAATGCTGTCCATGGTCACATTTTAATGTAAACATCATTTAGCCCCTAGGTGATGCAAATGCAAGTAGCAAGATTTGGCTTATAGGCCACCTTGTGAACTCCCAATTGAACTGTGCGTTAGCTGAACTAAAGCCTGAAGAAGAGCTAAGCATGGTGGACACCATCTTAAAAACAAAAAACTGCTGCCCAAGAAGCCTCTGCAGTGAGCTCACAAACAGGTCCCAACCCTGGCCCCCTCCTTGTTCTGCTGTTTACAGAGCTATGAGGCCTTACACTCATAAAAATAAAACTCTGAATACATCATAGACCATCCAGTTTATTGTTCTGTAGTAAGACGTAGAGCTCTGACCATGCCGACATCAGCACATTTTCCTCCTCAAGGAGCTGCCACAGAAAACCAGCTTTGAACAAGTCACCAGGTGACTGGGAACTAATCACAGGAGGCCATCCTTGGCGCCTTCACTTCATCCGGGAAACCTGCTGTCTGTTCTTGCCAGGCGGGCGCTTCCCTTCCCTCACTCACTCTGGTCGAGCTGCCAATGTCACATCCTATGTCTTTATAATCTACTTACTCCCTTGGCCCAGGGATCTCTGCTCGTTTAGGTATTTATTTATTTCCTGGGGTGCTAGGGGTCAAACGAGCGTCTGATGAATGCTAGGCAAGCACACTGTCCCGAGATGCCTCGTAGCCCTCCCAGTTAGTTAGATCAGTAACTTCATAGATAAGGTACTAACAATTAGTCCAGAGGACCAACTTAAACAAGACAATCACTCCCATGTAGCAACTTCTAGACAAAATGCTCTGCAGATGCCTCAACGCTGTTCTCAAGCCCCAGTCCCTGTAAGGTTTGACTCCTTACCACAGGTTTCCTGGGATGCACCCACTGTACCTACTTCACATTGAGCACTGGGGATTTTAATTAGTCATTTCCACTTCTTTGACGGGTGATTTTCAACCATGCAGAAATCACACCAATTAATTTTGTGTCACTACTGTTACCAAGACAGAAATAATTAAACATTATGTCATTCAGTTCTTGATGATGTTAAAAACAACCAAACACGGCCATGAACTTAGTATCAACAGCAGTAAAAGTCAAGTTGTTGAAAATGCCTTTCAATGTCAGAAAAGCTTGCTTTGAAATTAAAACTAAGATGTACTGTAAACATGTAATAGCAATAATTACTGAAAACAAAATACTCAAGACAGTTACATTCACACCACACGAAAATTCTGTCAATGCCCCCCTACCACACACACACAGGGTTTCTGTGTAGCCCTGGCTGTCCTGGAACCCAGAGATCTGCCTGCCTCTGCCCTCCCTCACCCGTCCCCCCCACAGTGCTGGAATTAATTAAAGGCACTGCCTGTTATATCCAAGAACAGCAATTTTATCCCCCAAAGTTGTAGATGCACGCTGGCTTCTGAAAGCGTCAGTCTCAGACCCAGTGAATGAAGATGAGCACACAGCATGCTTAACAGACAAAACCACAACCATTAACAGCCAGTGCCCCGCCGTGGTTTCCAGGGAAGGAGGAATAAAATGTGGATGTGTGCACTCACATGAGTAGAATCCTCCAATGAGAAAAAGTCTTACCATGTGACATTTTGCTACGTCTTGGGCCATAGCTAAGACTTTAATCTGTGGAACTCATCTCTGAAAATCACAACAAAAATCTCTACGAAATGATTTAATATAAAATATACAAACTTCTCAGTATGAAGACCCACAGAACAGGAAGGCAAAGACAACACTCAAAAACAAACCCGTACAAAAGTCGGAACAAAAAAGGACTGGAGACTGTAATGACAGTCAGGACCTCTCAAATCTGTCCTTGCCAAGACCCTCTCCTAACAGCACTGAGTTTCTGGGTCCACTGGAGGTGACTGGCCAGCCTTGCGCCATCACCCTTTCTTCGCTAAGATGACCACAGATCACTCGCTGTCAAACTTGACGGAATTGACCTGGACAGAGATGGAGCCTCCCCGGTAGCTGCCTCGCTTCTTCTTCGTCTTTTCATGGCGGAAGGACTTGCCTTTGGTGAACTTCAGAACCTGATTGGCTCGCTCACCCCAGTCTCCAGCTGCACCTCGCTGGTAAATAATGAGAGGTTAATACACAGAAGACGACCCCCAAGCCCTGTCACCTTCTCCCTGGATTGTCCCGTCTAGGTAATCTGAACCCATGAGGTTCCAGCACCTAAGCCAAAGCTGCCCTTCCCTTCCCGGTCCCAAGAGTGCCCAACACTCCGCACCTTGGCATCAAAGGAATTGTCTGCTACTCGGGAATCTACCTCAATCTCCTCCTCCCTGACCCTGCGGAACGGGGAAGACGCCCTTTTCTCTGCCTAGAGAAGGAAATACAAGTTAAGATGAGGTGGTTATTTAACAGCTCTCCTTATAGGCCTGAGGTGTCAAGCCAGACTGTCAAGGTGGCCCCAGGGTTTCCTCTATGGTTTAAGGGCTGGATTCTGAGAGCACTGTGGAGCAACGTACTTTCTTCCTTTTTGGAAACGTGTTGGGAGTCTGGAGCTTAACTTTCTTAGCTTGAGGAGTCCCTGCTTCCTCTGATGTCTCACTCTGCTTCCGTTTCTTTCCTGAACCTACAAAACAAAAGGCCAGACTCAAAAGCCAGGCCTGGTAGAAACCTGCACCCAGCACTCAGGAGGCCAACGTCCCCTGTCTACGTCCCTCCGAGTCCACCCCAGTAACGGAAGACAAAACCCAGGGGTGGCTCTACAGATCCAGACCTGGCTTGGACACTGCTGCCTTCTTCGTCTCTTCCTCCTCCTCTTCCTCCTCGCTTTCCTCCCCTGCTTTTCCGTTCTGAGGCGCCGGTGTGCCATTGGCCTTGCTGGCCTGTGGTTTAGCAGTGCCCTTGCCCTTGGCTGGCGCTTCCTCCTCCTCCTCCTCCTCACTGGAATCTTCGGAGGAGCTGCTGCTCTCTTTGGCTGCTGCTTTCTTCACAGGGGCTGCTTTGGAAGGGGTTCCACCTCCCGCGGCCTTCTTCTTAGCTGCAGGCTTAGGTGTCTTCTCCTCTTCATCACTGCTGGAACTGTCTGAGTCAGAGCTGCTGTCCTCAGCCTGAGGAGCCTTTTTGGCAGGCAGAGAAGGTGCTGCTTTAGCGGTCACCTTGGACTTGGGGGCTGTCACAGTTTTCTTTGCCGTCTCCTCCTCGCTGGAGCTGCTCTCCTCCTCGCTGGAGCTGCTGTCAGCCTTTCTGGTCTGAGCTTTCTGGCCACTGCCTGCAGTTTGCTTAGGAGTTGCAGCTGCCTTAGCCACAGACGGCTTGGGAGTGACAGCGGACTTGCTTAAGGGATTCTTGGTGGTACTGACTGGCTTGGTAGGAGCTTCATCCTCAGAACTGTCAGAATCTACATAAGAGAGGAGAGAATGAACAGCTCCCCAAATCAAATTCAGGGGAGCCCTGTAACAGCATCCCCACACAATGAAGATCCCAGCAGCCCACAGGCTGGGCAGCATTACCTGAACTGTCTGAAGAGCTCTCTGCTTTCTTCTTCGCTGGAGCTGCTTTGGCAGGTGTCTTGGAGAGGACCACTTTAGCAGGGGCTTTTTTCTCTTCCTCCGAACTTGAATCTGGGGAGAACTTGTGACATTAGATGGGTCCAGATTGGCAAGCCAAGCAGGAGAACAACAGAAACAATGTCACAATGTACAGAGAGGCACAGAGCACCTCTGTCAAGTCTGACTACAGCCTGACTCACCCGACTCGTCACTGCTGTCCCCACTGCTTTCTGCAGGCTGCTTCTGCGCAGCGGCCTTCTTTGGAGACTGGGCTCCCAAGGACTTCTTTGGCAAAGGAACAGAAGGTGGTGGGACGGAGCTGTAGGGACCTATTTAAAAGGTACAATAGTTTTGAAATATGCATTTGCCAGGCATGGTGGTTCATAAGGCTAACGGGGGAAGATCACTGTGAATGAGGCCAGCCTGGGCTACAGAGGGAAAACATTTCAAATAAACAATAAAAATAAAATAGGTCCAGTGGTGTTACACCCCTTAATCCCAGCACTCGGGAGGCAGATTTCTGTGAGTTCCAGGCCAGCCTGGTCTACACAGTAAGACACCGTCTCAAAGAAAGTAAGTAGACAGAGATAGATAGACAGACAGACAGACAAAATCAAATAGGTGCCCAGGACTGAGGATGTATCTTCTAAGTACAGAACCTGCATAGTATGCATGAAGTCCTGGGTTTAATCTCTAGCACCACAAAATAAAATAAGGACCTCAATTCTCTGTCTAGAAATGGGGCTTACTAGTTTCTGCAGAATGTGGGCTGGGATGAATAAGTCATTTCTGAGTCTGGGTTACATGAGGCATTGTGGCTTCCCTCTTGGTTATTTTTCTGGATTTCTTTTTGGAAGAAGCTAGTTGTTGGGCCATGAGGACTTAGTTTTACAGGCGGGTTATACAGCTTGATGCCCCATGTCCAATCACCTGGTTTTTTCTTCGTGGGTTTCTTCTGTTCCTCCTCTTCACTGGAAGACTCTTCACTGCTAGAACTCTTCTGGGCGGGGGTGGCAGCTACTTTCACTGGTGCCTTGGCCACACCTTGCTTTTTAGGTACAGTCTGCACCTGAGAAAAAAATTACATTACAGGAAAATATCTTCCCAAATAATCCTATCAGGCTGGCAGTAGGGGGTTCAGGACTATGATCCCAGCACTCTGGGAGGCAGAGGAAAGTGGATCCTTCTGAGTTTGAGGCCAGGCTGGTCTACAGAGCTAGTTCCAAAACAGCCAAGGCTACAGAGAGGAACTGTCGTCTTGGAAAAACAAAAAACAAATCCAACCAATGCCATGAGCAGAGAGAACACCCGGTAGTTCCTTCACTTCATCCTTGATAGTCACAACCCTAACCTTCTTGGGGGGTGCTGTTGCCGTCTCCCCCTCCTCCGAGTCGTCACTGCTGCTGCTGCTGCTGCTGGCTGCCTTGCCATTGGCTGCTTTAGTCTGTGCTCTAGCTGCTGAGAAGCAAAGAGATATTAAGACAAACTGGGAGACATCCAAAAATATCCTGTTAACAACACAGGACTTAGAGAGTCTCTGTCCATGTTAAGGCCAGTGAAATGGCTCAGCGGATAAAGGTCTTTGTCACCAAGCCTGATGACCTGAACTTGAAGCCTAGCAGTTACATAGGCATCATGGCTATGTATTGGTGATTAGCCATCAAGAGGCTGAGATAGGAAGTCCTTGAACTTAATTGCTGCTCAGCCCTTCAACTAAAGAGCAATCAGTTCAAGAGTGGTGTGGGTTGCTAGGCAAAAAGCAAATTTAAAAAAAAAAAAAAAGTTTTTCTTGCTGGGTGGTAGTGGTGCAGGCCTTTAATTCCAGCATTTGGGAGGCAGAGGCAAGTGGCTCCCTTAGTTCAAGGCCAGCCTGGTCTACAAAGTGAGTTCCAGGACAGCTAGGACTGTTACACAAGAAACCCTGCCTCAAAACAAACAAACAAATAAGTAAATAAAAACAAGAACAAAAATGTTTTTTTTTTCTTTTTTGGTAAAATCACTGCTTTTCTTATATACTGGCCCCAACCATAAAATTTTACTTAATTATATTTCTGATTTCTTTCCCCCTCTTTGGATGGCCAAGAACTTGATAAGTGGACTAAGCTGGCCTTGAATTTACAGTAATCCTAATATGTCTATAGGGGTTACTGGTATACAGTACCATCCCTGATGGGGTACACATGTGTAGTACTGAGGACTAAACCCAGGGCCTCACACATTCAAGGTGAGTACTCTACCACAGTCTTGCATATCCCCAGCCTTACATTTCGCCCTAAAACTTTGGAACAGGGTCTTGGTAAGTTTTCCAGGCTTGCCTTATACATTCAGTCCACCTACTACACTGTTGTGGGTAGGTGAGATTATAGACCTTTCGGCCATGCCCCGGCTAAAGAGAAGTGATGAAGACCTGTAATTCAGCAACCATGCCATTTCCCACTGGTTCCAGCTACCCTCCTGGGGACAGAAATACCTGGTTTGGCTGAGGCTTTAGGCTGAGCTCTGGCTGCCGCAGCTGTCTTTAACTTCTGGGTCTGGGGTGCTTCATCCTCGGAGCTGGAGTCCGACTCAGACTCAGAGCTCTCAGCTTTCTTAGGAGGCGCTCTGCCTGCCTTGGCTTGGGGCTTGACTGCCTTCTGCTAAAGAAAACAAAGATGGCGGCAAGTGTCAGACTGGGAGGCAGAGGCAGGCGGGTCTGGGTTCAAGGCCAGCTGGTCAACACAGAGACTTCCAGGACAGCCAGGGCTACATAAAAAGGCTCCATCTGGAACAAACAAAAACCCACAAAAAGCGGGGCGGTGGTGGTGCACGCCTTTAAACCCAGCACTCAGGAGGCAGAACCAGGCGGATCTCTGTGAGTTTGAGGCCAGCCTGGGCTACCAAGTGAGTTCCAGGAAAGGAACAAAGCTACAAAGAGAAACCCTGTCTCGAAAAACCAAA